TTTTTTTTTTTTTTTTTTTTTGGAATAGCTCGGATCATATTCGTAAACTAGATGGTCATTTTTGCCCGCAGCCAATTACTGTTTACAATGTTGTTAGAGTGGAACAACCAAACATTAGAAAAGTCTGGTGTAACTTACAGTATACTTACTGTATGTACACTCAAACTAGGAACACATTTTTTGTGCATTGTTTTAATTGGTGACTATAGAATGAAGGCCCTTCAAATAATTTATGTACATGACTACTGTTTTTACTATGCAAAATTCACTGAATACTCTTCTTCATATGAAGAGCCCTCATCCTATAGTTAACAAAATATTTACAAATATATGTCACAGTTCAAGTGTTCTCACTATGTGTCCCCACTAGAGACCCCACTAGTGCATACACACTACTTTCTGATACTTTCTGAGAGTTTGTCAATGATCAACCAGTCATTTGATGCAAAATTAGCAAAATTATTATGATGAATTAAAATGAAAGAGTTCTATCACAAGGAACAGATTTATTACTTTATTAAGCCAACATTCTTGCAATTATTCGCTGATAACTAACTGTCTGTTTCTTGACTATTTCTATTTCTCAACCCAATGTTTAGGTCATACCACTAGACAAAGCATTTAATCATACGTTCTACATTTCACCTTCATTTGACAGTTACGTGTAGGGTTATAACTGAAGTTGTTACTAGTCAAAATCAAACTATACCAACGCTTACATGCATAAGCTTATTAAGACATCAGCCAAACTTATATTTTTACAAGCAAATGTCACATAATTTCCTTCTTTTCTTCCTTGAAAGAACGTTCGAAATTCGAGGATACAATAACAAAGAAACAAACTCTTACTATCTAACATGCACAAACTCAGGAGATATAAGCTCATTTAGTAGAGAGATCTTTACCTGTGTGTAGCTATCAAGAGCTTTCTTATATTCTCCTTGATTAAAATGCACATTTCCTTCCGAAAGATAAGTTGTAAATGAGCTCTTTGGACCTTCTGGCTCGTCGTCGTCGTCATACATCGCGGCGGAAACTATTTTTGCCTACTAAATCGTTGCTAATTTGCTGTAGCGCAAGATATTGTAAATATGGCTCCCTTGACTGTGGTCGTCAAGAGAAGGTTGCTAAGTAGAACCCAGTACTTCTCTTACAATATACAGACCGCTGCACCGCGCCGCTAAGGTCAAATGCCATTGCTTTACTGAAAACTCCTGAAATAAAAACATACTAATATGAGAATAACCACACGGAAATATACAAGCACTTCAGCCATTACATTGTTTCCTGGTCTCTGTGTTAATTTTTTTTATTAACTTTCCCGGGCGCTTGAGACATAAATGCAAATGAGTTTTAATTTATTTATATTCTTTAAATTCTCCTAACATTTTCATCATCATCTGCCATCATCAATATTTTCATGGCGACAAAATTAAAAAGCTCGTCCATTCTCTGAGAAAAATTTAAAGCCTAATATTTAGGGAAAGGTAAAAATTGAGATTAAAGATAAAAAAAACTAAAAAAGAGTTGAAAAAAATTAAAATACAGAGTTAATAAAAATTAAATATGTCTAGAGTTTATATTGAAAATGATACGGATACATGCCGGGTTATAAGATATTTTCCCAGGCAGAAAAAAGTTCCAGGCTTATCCAGAATTGTCTCCATATATGATCAATCCATGACGTAATTTTTAGCCGTTGGCCAATCAAAATCCAGAACCATCTGATTGAGTCTGTTTGTTGTTCGCTGTTCAGAGGTATCCAAACTCGATCTTCTATCTGGAAAACTCCTTCTAAAGGAAGACTGGAGATCCCGATGTCTCCCGAAGAAGTCTTTGAAGCTACAAATCGACAGCTTTTTATAATGTAGTTGTTGGCTCTGCGGCGTAAAGTCCGGTTTTTGCTTTGGCGCGGGGTAACTGCAATCGTTGACTATGGGCAACATTCACTGTTGTGTTCTTCCTTCGCCTCGCGGAGGGGCTATGGCCAAAAGTGAGCCTTATGACAGAACAGGGCTTGCGAATGAGTCGTTTGAACTACCCCACATTAGCGACAGAGAAGGTAACGGCAAGCAAAATGTTTGTTCAAGGGTGATATGTTATGGTGATACGTCTGATCTTAGCTTAACTCTACGTATCATGACGATTTGGCACGGACAGTTTAGGATTTTATCCCTCTTATTTCTTTGTAGATCTTTCAAATCACAAGGGGACGTTGTTCTTGCACAGATCACTTTCTAATCAAGGTAAGGCAAATGACAGCTAATTTCACAATTCGTTGAACAGCTTGAGCGAGTCCGATCATCTCCGAGTCACATGTAAGCAACTGAAATTGGTTCCATTGCTTGCAGAAAGTTGTGTCTTTTTCTTATAAGTTTACTCAGCTTTCACATGTAGTAAGCTAAGCTTAAGCCTTATGCTATGGTTCATGTTCTTTTCGCATAAAGAATTAAAAGATCTCTTGCCCAATTTTTTTTTCAGTGCGACATGAAAATTCTTGTTATTCTTTGCAAGTCTTGAAATTAATACAACTGCAAATTTATTTTTTCATATTTAAGCTTACTTCGTCTCTCGCCGATTTCCGTCACAACTATGAGCTTAATTTACGTTTGTAAGCTTTAAAAGCTATTTTTCGCGAAAGAAATTTCACGTTTATCCGCAATTAATTCATTTCCACTTCACGTTGGATCCCTTAAAATCCGTGATATTAAAATCTTATTTTTTTGGTCAATTGCTTTGACCTAACACCACATGTTATACGTGACAATTCGAAAGAAGCTTACAGAAGGCTTGGTGATATTATGAAATTCCCTCGGAATATTTTTCAAATTTCGTGAATGCTCTTAATATAAAGTTATGACAGATTGTCAACTTCAAAATTACGGGTTCTGCTGATGTTTGTTCAAAAAATTATTTTTTTCTCTAAAAAAGTGATATTGCAGAAACCTCTTTGTATCAATAATTTTATTAATGATTATTTGCTGGAAGAAACAAAAAAACATTACTTATTTGAGAATCAAAAAGACATAATGGATTAAGTTATAGATTACCATATGCAAACCCCTGATCGTGACATATTTATGAAATTTAATCTACTTGGGCATTTAGAAAAGCTCTAACAAAGTAAGGTAAAGTAGTTGCAAGGCATGGAGATATTTACATAAAACACAAACCATATCGCCATATTCGACAAGTGTTTTGGAGTGTTCTAGATCTTGTTATTTCCTGCATGCTTCAAAGAAAAGAAAAACAACAACAAAAAACTGTTTCAAAAACATTTGCAGCTAATTTTTCATCCTGATCATATAACATTTTATATCCATGCATTATTTCCATCAAAAACTCATGATATGTCTTAACATGCGACATTCCATACTAGGTAACAATGGAACATTTCCCGGGAGACGTACATTTTCAACAGGAAGTGACTCAAGAAAGAGAAACGGAGTTGGGGTAAGGACAAAAGGCGTGGTCTGACACATGAGTATTTTGGTACACCCTCAAACCTACTAATGTGGTGGACAAGATTGCCAACATTAGATCAATGCTTTAAATTGATACATTTGTACTTCCTCTACACAAAATTACCACTTTTGTTTCTACAGTCTCCTTGTTTGTGGCCACAACAAAAGCCCAACCATGTTAATGCCGGCTAGCAGGCTACATAGCCTCTATCTTGTTTATAGATAAATTAAGTATACTTAACACTTCTAGCCATCTCTTAAAAATTCCTGATGGTAAAATCAAACAGAAATTATATCAGTTTCAATTAACAATAAAATGTGTTAAAATATAAAATGTCACTACCATGAGTCAATAGGGGGCTAATTTTTAATTACATCTGTCACAACATCATTTAAAATTTGTTTAAGTACTAACAATGTGTGACATGTCTAACGTAATAATTTTAATATGTTTTGGAATCTACCTCATCGGTCCAATTAGTATTTCATTAGTGGTCAATTATGTATTCACCTACACATAGAGACCTGCAAGCCATCAAGGTAAAACAAGTCAGTTTTATTATATAAGAGACTACGAACTGGTTGGCTTGGTCGGTTGAATTTAGCTTCAATTAAAGGCAGGTCAGGGTTTGTGAAGCTTCTAAAGTCTCGTACTTTCATAATTGGTGTAAACATGTTCAAGTCTGTGAATTCCATTGTAAAAAGGGCTCTTTGTTTTTTAGGATTAAAATTTATTAAAATTGAATTAGTTAAAATTTATTTTACAATCAATGTTTTGGCAAGTTTGACCTGCCTTCCTCAGGAATCGAGAATCTAAAAGGCCATATGGTGGACTGAACAGTCAACAGTCAGTCTGTCATATTTACTTTTATTAATTTTCTCAATTCCTGAAGAAGGGCAATCAAACTTGCCTAAACAGTGATTTTAAAATCAATTTTAGCCTCAGAAAGAATCCTGAAAAACAGAGAGCAACTTTTAATTTTAGAAATAAAGGGTGAAAGTTTCAGAAATACAGAAATACTTTTTTTTTTTGCAAATTGTACCTTACAGTAACATTGTAATTTCTTTTACCAGGGAATTCTGACTAGAAAATTTAGCTCCTGCTCAACTATCTTCCTTGATGACAGTACAGTGAGTCAGCCCAACCTAAAATCCACCATCAAATGGTAATAAAATTATTTCTGACATCAAAGTTAGTTTTTCATCTTTTGCAAATTTAGCTTCTGTCATGTGTGACAGTAATAGAATTACAATTAGATCTGAGGGCTCAAAAAAAGTCCATCCAATCACCCAGGACAAGTAGATTTTCCTGCTGGACAAGTAGCTTTAATTTTATTCTCTCTTGCCTGATTGGCAGGGGCCCAGGCAAGTCATCTGCAACTAAAAAAGAAAGAAAATAAACTAAGACTTGCCCAGAGCAAGCAAAATTTGAGAAACGTGAGCTGGAATTCAAGTTTTTTTTTTAGCCCTGTTGACATTGAGGTATTTTACATTTTGAATAATTGATAAAAATAATTGTTATTATCATTGGATACATTTTCCCCTTACTTTTCATTGGCCGAGAACCCACCACGTGACCTGCAAATAACTGCCTACAAATAATGGTCTGCTCATGTGAACTATCATCTAAATGTGTTTTTGAAACCATGCGCTTGGGTGAAATATCATAAAACAGTGGCAGTTTGCTTCCCTGAACTGTCAGAGAGTGATTTAAATATGAAACCAAACTGGGTGAACGAATGATAAAACATTCCACTGACAACTCATGATAATATTTTGCTTAACCTCATCCAATAATTGTTAATTATACACTCAGTTAATTATACAGTCGGATACATGGATAAACTGTCAGAGTGTGTATGGATCCAAAGTTAACTGATGAGTGGGCAAACTTTGTGTTGGTTTAGGAAACAGATGTGTATTAACATGGACATGTGCTCAGAAAACTCAGTAGACCATCTACTATTGTAATCTGCTCCTTTACACTAGAGCATGATCTTCAGTTGGCTTCTGAACTATTGGTGTGCATAAAATTTATTTTTCCCAAGTTATCTTCTCTCTTGATTAAACAGCTCGGAGCGCAACAAATTGCAGTTGTTTAAAAAAACTAAAACTGTATACAAATACCACTTTTTCAATTAATTTATTTTTGTTATCTTCTGAAATTAACATTTTAATTGGTCCATTTTTTTGACAAGGTTAATGGATCTGTGAAATATTTATCACTGCAAATGGTGTTGATTATGATTATTGTAAATATTTTTAATCACTTAGACAGTCATTTGCTCAGTCATTGCTTGAATTGTGGAACCTTGTATCACCATTCTTTGAAATTTGACTCTAAAAATAGTTTTATGTTACCTATTTCTTCCTGTTAAATAATTCTCGTATTCATTTGTTTGCAGTGTGGCTTTGGCAATATATTACCACATAAAGAACAGGTGGGATATTGTGTTGTCTGTTTTAAAGAAAAGAGTAATTATTTTTGTCTGAAATCTGAGAAAACTGAAAAATTAAACCGCATCATGATAAGCCCCACTGAAGACCTAATGGACTTGCTATCTTGGGAAACCACATTTCTTTATGATGATGTTGCAGTAAAAAATGTCATCACTGCTTCATAAGATAATAAATAGTATCCACTTTGAATTTATTTTCAAAGTTTTTGTTTCCTTATTTTAATGTCTGTCAAGAACTTCAACGTCACATAATAATTTTTTAGATTTGGGAACCAAGACATCAAAATTACCATATGCAAATATGCAGAAAGGCTTCCAAAACTTTAATGCCTTAGAGCAGCTTCAATGTTTTGTAATTTTGAATGTCATAGCATTAAAAAGCCTCATTGTGTCCCTACAGAGACAGAGATGTGCGATCTCTTGATATCTTTGATGAAAGAGCTCACCCCCTTACGGTAAGGAAAGTGGCAAAGTTGGAAGATTTCTAGATCTGTTACTTGTATAAATGTAGCATAGTTATTTATTATGACAAATTATACTAAAATACTATATTTGTGGCTCTGGATGAAATTTCTTTGAAACAAGACATGCAGGAGTTTCATTAACGTTTTCAGCAAGAAGGCAACTGGTTTTCACAGACGGGCAAAACTTTTTAAATTGAAACTCTTTATAAGAAAAACATTCCTCTAGATGGTCAAACTAGGCAGGTAAAATCATCCCCACAGCAGGTCAATTTGTCCGGTGCCTGACCCTTAATGAAGCCCTTGATAAGAACTCAGTAACAACTCAGCAACCATCAATTATTTAATTTACTAATTAGCTGTATTGCAGATAAATCATTCTCAATGATCACCATTAGTCTCTATCATTGTTAGTAATCTCAATAGATAGTAATGCGGTTTCTTTTTGGAAGATTTTGTATATTGTCTTTTCCGTTCTTCAAAACTGAGTCGGATAACCAATTCTCAAACTCATTAATGATCCATCAAGTTTAAACAAAAGGAAATCAAGATGGTGACAGTGTTTGGATATCTGATCTTAATTAGCATAGATTTTTACAATTTTATATCTCCATTTTTTCCTTAGTTTTTGTTTTGATAGGGAAGATATATCAAACACTCTAAACTGTTTGACTACACTTCCAAATACCTCAAAGTTCGTCAATTTTTAACACTCTGCTTGGTGTTTGGAAATGTGGTCAAACACATACGGTCTTTCATGTTTGATATATTACTAAATGTTGGAATTCTTTTATTGTTTTTTTAGCATGATCCTGTACCAGATTATTATGACAGAGTGGATCCAGAACACAGGCATATCTACAAGTTTATCAAAACCCTGTTTCATGCCGCTCAGCTCACCGCAGAGTGTGCAATTATCACACTTGTAAGTCTTATTTGCATAGATGTTCAAAAATATCGATTTTATATACCTAAACTTTAATAGTTAATAGTTTGGCAGTACAAAAGACTACAAGTATTGACAGGAGAACCCTTAACAGGAACTACTTCCTTCACTGAAGGGTTACCTTAAAATATCTGGAGATCTTTTTTTTTTTTTTTTTTTTTTAAAAAAGGACCCAACCAATACTTCTCCAATAGGGGTCTACGCTAGTTCAATANCCCCCCCCTCCCCCCTTATTGGAGAGGAGTGTGTTGTCAGTGGCTCTTACAGTTCATTCTCAGATGTTTGATTTTGTTTATTTCCACGAAACACGTCAGGTTTACCTTGAAAGGCTTTTGACTTATGCTGAGATCGACGTGCATCCAGGAAACTGGAAAAGGATTTTGTTAGGTGCTATTTTACTGTCATCTAAAGTGTGGGATGACCAAGCTGGTAGGTATTGTTATGCTGTGTGTTGACACTGGTTCTGTATTGTGCAGTTCCAGAAAATGTCCATACTCCCCTCACAGAAGGAATTGGAATTTCCTGGGGGGTGGGGGGTTTCTGGAAGACCAAAAAATTTAAAGAAAGATATGTAGCTTAACTGGAATTTCCAGAGGGGTGGGGAGATGTTAGAAAAAATCCCTTCCATGGGGAGGTATGGATATTTTCTGGAACTACACATTGTCCAGCACCCTCTATTTTCTCATATTTTTATTCAATCACTGAATGCGGGGATAGAATCGTGATCAAACTGGACACCAGCACAGAGTGGAAGACTTGACAGGGTGGGGGGTGGGGACTAAGAAGATTCTCCATTCTTCATTTGGCTTGCTTCACTCACTTCCCTGCCCCCACTCCCTCATGCTCCACGCTCGCTTTTTCTTTTGCATGCGTTTGAAAATAGAGAGGCTGTGAACAGTTAAACTCTATGTCTTCTAAGGTTGAGACACACCTTGCAGTGACAAATGTCTGTCTAACCATAGAGATATCTACTTTTAAAGGTTCCTTCCTTAGAGAGGTGTCCTTTGTGAGGCCTTATTAGGGGTTTTCAGGATACAGGAGATTTAGGTAAAAAATAAAAGGGATAAAGGTTACTTTTGGGGGAAACATTAATTTGATATGGGATAGTTATCTAGAACAGATTCCTCCGGATATCAAGTAGGAAAATTGTTTATTTTTGAAATTGGAATTAACAATGTACAGGATATTTAGACCAAGCATTAATTGGATGTGGGATACTAAGATCTACTCCCCCCCTCCACATGGGGCCTTCTATGTGAAAGAGTCGTTCACCTTAACAAAGAGCCTTGTCTTAGACGGTGTCTGTAGAAGTTGATGTACCGGTAAGTTTCACACAGTTGTACCCCACTAATTCAAACTAGGTGTTTTCAAACCCCTGCTATTTCAAACTATGCTTCGTTTCCCCTGAGAGTTTGAAATAGTGGGGTCCAACTGTACTTCATTAAATATTTAAGCTGAACTCAAATTTTGGCACAGGCCCACATATGCTGGGAAACATTGAAGCACAGTTTTACAAATACTTTCTTACTCTGACTGGGATTTGTTTTTCTCTTGACAGTGTGGAATGTGGACTATTGCCAAATTTTGAAAGACATAACAGTGGAAGACATGTAAGTTGATAAAAGTTTAAAGGAGCTCAGTCATGAGATTTTGAGTTATTTTGGCTGCATGTAAAATACTTTAGATCGAAGGAAACCTGAAAATAGTAGTTTACTAAGATAGAAAAACACCAAAGAGATAACAATCAACCGTAAAGGAACAAGGATAGTCAAGGATGGAAAAGATTAACAGGGATTACAAACGATGAACATGCAAAACTTAGGGTAAACTTTTCAAGTTGTGGAAACCGTGATGTAGCTCTTTTGATACTTCAGTCAGACCCCACTAATTTGAACTCGGTTTGTTTTGAATCCCCCATTATTTCGAACTCAAAATCATTTGTCCCTGAGTCATTTACTATCGGCTATTTCTAACTCCCACTATTTCGACCTATTCTTCGTTTCCCCTTAGAGTTCGAAATAGCGGGGTTCAACTGCATCATAATACTGACATTGAAGCTGAATACTAATTTTGACACAGTCTCATTGATTTCTTTTCTGCAGGAATGAATTGGAGAGAGCATTTTTAGAGCTTTTGCAGTTTAATATTAATGTACCGTCAAGTGTCTACGCTAAATATTACTTTGACTTACGCTCACTTGCTGATGCCAACGATTTGGTTTTTCCTCTGGAGCCACTTAGCAAGGAAAGAGCGAGAAAATTAGAGGTGAGATTTTGCTGTTAATGGTTCCTGTCTCTAAGTGTGTACTTGTACAATAAACATGAAAGAATGAGAATCCGAGGCCATCGTGACAAAATTCAACTCTGGTCACTAGGATCATGGTGGATCAAAGGAACTGATGAATCCAGAAAATCCCGAAAGAACATCCCGGTCTTAGGCAGTGTCCACACTAGGCCGGAGAAATTTGAAAACGCAGCTATATTTCTTCAGTTTGGTCCACTGTCCACGCCAATCCGTCGCGATAACGGAGCTTTTAAAAAACGCTCTTCAAACCGGAGGAATTTGAAAACGCCAGCTTTTCATTTTCATGTGGATGGAAAACATTTTGAAAATGGAGCTTTTCAACAACGATGATGTCACGATAATCACGTGATTTCTCTGCCCGAGTCTTCCTTAAGGTCATTCCTCACATTTGCATCGCGCATCCTTACTGCGCATAATTTATGGCGTCAGCAGCGCGCGCTCGTGCACGCACATATTGAAAACATGACGGATTTGCCTTGATATTGAGCTCTGTCAGTTGAANTCTGACACAATGTATTGACTGTAGTTTAATGCGTGTTCTTATGAGTCTGGGCTCACAAAGATTTTACAATTACTGGGAATGCGTTTTTATAATAAGCTTTAAATAATGCCAAAATGGGACATTTTCAATGCCTCACTGCTCCTTAATGAGCATGGGCAGTCCCCTTTTTTATTTCAAAATTGTTAAAAAGTTATCATATGACAAATATTCAGTGGACAAAGTTTGAACAAAAATCTGTTGTCACTTTTATTTCAGAGGAATTACCTTAAGCACAAATCTAAAATGACTAGTGATTGTTGCGTTTTCAAATTTCTCCGACGTATTGTGGAGGAAAAGCATTGGATGAATTTTGAGAGTTAAACCTCCGTTTTCAAAGTCCTCCGGTGTAGTGTAGATGGGGGTCTTAATCTTCATATCCAGAATCAGGTGAAAAATAGAGATGCAACAATATTATTTGTTTTCCTCTTGCAGGCTCTCTCAAGTGTATGTGAGGACAATATGCTAGATTGTAATCCAACTACCTTGTATCGCTCTAAGAGCGCAGATGCGCTTACACCGCGCCGGAGAAGCATGGCTATCCTGTCGTGACGAATAATCCCAAAACAACAGCTGTAGAATCGATGATAGTGGTACGTATGCCAGATCCGTGCGCCTATGGACAGAGGAAATCTGCACAAGAGAAATGGGGCAAAAAGCACTTGGGAATTTATTTATAGTGAAGAACTGGGTCAGGATGACCGTTTGGCGTACGAAGTTTCGTTTAGGCGTGTGAGGAGAACAATGAGTGAAGAACATCGGACTTCACGTCGCTTGCGTGATAAACCGTGGACAGAGATTTTAGTCACGCAATCTTGGGAAAGTTTTCCAACGCGTCAAATATTTGCACTTTGTGTCACAGGATCTCCAAGGGAAAAACTTTCCACAAAGGTTGTTTCCCTGTTACGATCATATTCACCACTTGTAGAATGGAGAAATATTTGACTTCATATTTGCATACTGTCACCAGATAACTTGACTATCACACAGCATTTACAGCAAGCGCCAACCAAGATCTTTTTGGAAGACATTACAGCAACTGATTATAACGAGCAGGCCACGCTCATGAGGGAATTTTTATTTGCAGGGAGGTACTAAGGAAGGAACTCTTTTGGGCGTCGCTGATTTCAGTTTGACTGTTTTCAGCTAGTGGAATGTTTCAACGCTGTTTCTAGGGTAGTGGTTTACAACTGACGGAATCGCAATCTCGATCCCAGGCTCTCTCTCTCCTTTGCCTCTCCTCGACATCAAGGAAGGCAGAGGAGAGAAAGCCTGGTAATGAAGTTGAACGAATCAAATGGCCATTTTAAACTGATGACGTCGCTTCGGGGGATCCTTTTTAGTGTGTCTGGTTGTTTCTTTCCCGCGAAAATTCAGGCTCCGTCCACACTACACAAGAGAAATTTGAAAACGCAGCTTAGGCCTACCATCCACACAAAAATCCATAACGAAAACGGAGCTTGTCGAAAACGCTTTTCAAACCGGTGGAATTTGAAAACGTTTTTGAAATTTATCCAGCGTAGTTTGGACAGGGCCTCAAACCCAAGGAACTACCAATCACAGGCGTTCTAAGGATCTCTGTTTAGTTACGTCAGACAACTTACATGCCAGGAAGATATTGAGCGTGTAAATGGACACATCCGTATACCCTGACTTGTCCCTAGTCGTCTTCATACAACTTCATACAGCATGTGGCAAGGGGCGACGCGGGGGCGCAGGGTGAGATGGGAACACGCGACATGGCGCAAGGCATTTCCACCTCGCCCCGTGCCGCGCGCTGTATGAAGTTGTATGAAGACGACTGGAGACGAGTCAGTCTGTTAACCCAAGCCAACGAAACTGTTTCATTTTAATTATTCAGTCTTTTCAGCGTATCAGGATCTCGTCTGTTCTGAATATTTTTACACCATTTTGATCATAGCTTTTGAACATTTTACCCGAGAACTATGAGAGCGATTGGTGAGTGGAACAGCTTTATACAATTATCGACAAGAGAAAAACGTTTACAAAATGGGAGAATATTGTCGAAAGGGAAAACTAGAAGTTTAAGGAGAGCATTTTAGCCTGTAATTCTACCGCTAAAATATCTTCAATGGCATCTTGGCAAACAGAATCGCTGTAATACAAAGACAACAGTGGCCACGATATTACTTGAAGTTATTAGCCTAGTTGACTCAAAACTCAAACTCAAACTAGTTGACTCTTCGCTTTAGCGATGCGAAAGCTGTACTGGGCGACAAGTTTTCAATACAGACAAGGTCAGATTTCGTCAAAGAGCGTCATTCTTAGTGAAAATACTTTTTGTTGCACGCAACACTTGATTCTCAGATAGATGTAAATTATTTCAAGCAGAACAGTAATAATATATTTAAAAGTTGGTATCCTGATATCAGAAACTGCGTTTTTCAGTCATGTGCGAAAACTCCTTAAAGGCCGTTAGATTACGGTGCTCGCTCGTGTATTAATTCATTTTATTTATTTTTATTAGTAGTTGGTTCAGTTTTAAAGTTCACAAACTAGTCCAGTTCTACGAGAATCAGATACTCTATAATATCAACTTTACACAACAGGACGATAAGAGGTTATAGCTGTTTAGAGACGGACCATTATTTTGTAGGGGAGGGGGGCGTTGGGCAATTTTCTGGGGCATAATTTTTTTCTTACCTTTCGGTTGTGCATTAGTTTTTTTTGGTGGGAAAAGGCTTGTGCGATATTTTTTAAAATTCAAAACACAGGGGCTGGATAGTAGAAGGCACTTGCTCGATTTTTTCCTCATGGCTACTCTTGCATGCGATTTTTTCCCAGCATTTTTCAACTGTGCAGGAATTATTATGGAAATTACCAGACCCCCCTCGCCTCAAAAAAATAATGGTTCGTGCCTTAGAATCATCGTACAACAGCTTCTCATCATATTCCTTGTTTCCTTTCAGTCCAAGAATTGTAAATATCAACGGCCTGTTTTTTTAGAAAATGTTGAAACTCTCTGATCGACTCTTGCAGTTTTTATAGGTGGTTGTGGCTAAACGTGGCCTAAACTGCAGAACGGATAGCATCGATGCGTTATTTAGCCTTGTCATGCAATCTTTCTCGCCCTAGTTGGATTGTGTGACAAGGGAAGCTAGCGTGACGATCCAATACGTTGCTCGCGTCGGGCGCTACGGAATTCAAAGACAGACAGTTTTCCTTTGTCCTTGTGCTCTGCCCCGACCTCTGTCATTAATATTTTTGTCTTTTTACCTGCGTTTACAGCGATTCCATTTACACACACACACTGAAAATGGCTTTTTTAACGAAAAAGAACGTTTATATGAAACATTCTCATAGAAAATGAAAATCTTCGGCTGGTTGAACCAACAGAGGCAGCAGAACATCCGACAATAACCTGTTAGGCGTTCTTATATCAAGTTACATTTATTTTATTTTTAAACCCTGAGGACATCCATTTCCCAGCTCCCAACATTTTTGCCATTTTCACACAAGCACCCGATACAAATTAGACCTCGATCTCGTAGAAAACTCACACCTTTTTGAAGAAGGTTGGAGTCGCAATTGGTTATGAATGCTGTGAAAATAGACTTCCTCTTTTTTCGCCCTACTGACAGCATTTTTTCGCTGTCAGCAGAACTGCTATCCCCTATCCAATTCCCCTCCCCTCCTCGCCACTTGGAGGAGGGCTCCAAAAAAATGCATCCTTCCACTTTCTTTGACCCCTTTGCGAGGTTTTGGAAGACATACATTTAGAGCTGTTTTCACTTGAGTGTCGTAAGTAATGACATTTTGTAACGATTGCATTGTATTGTTTTAAATCGCGCCACTTTTCCGACCAATAAGAAGTTAAACCAATCGTGACTAAACAAAATAAGTTTTCCCGCGCTTTGCACCTGCAACACGTATTCGCCTCGAGTTTTGATTGGTTTGCTGGGTTGTCTGTCTTCGTTGTGATTGGCGAGGGTGACAACTCTGGTTTTGGTTACACTCAGTTGAAAGCAGCTCTATTTTAGCCAGCCTGCCAAAACCAGTTAAAAAAAACCTGGTAAGGAAAACAACTCATGTTGTAGACTTGAACGCGGTGTATTATTTCTCTTCACCAGTCTCCGTCCAAGAGAAGAACCGCACGAGTTCAGCATCCAGGCATGCGCGGTAGCCCTCCCTGTGATAAGCGCTGAACATTGCAGGAGTAAAGAACTGGTTCAGCGTCACGTGGTGCGGAAAGGTTCCACAGAAGATCCTGAAAGATTATAAAGTTTATTTCTTTTAACATGTGGATGACATAATGGAATCTCAACTTCTAACCAGGAAATTATGATTCATTCACCGTCTGTTAAATATAATTTTAGAGTAAGGCTCTGGAGATTATGATATTTGCGGGAGCACTAGTCTTAGAAACAGAATATCGAAATTTGTTTATGCAGTTTTCTCAGTCTTTTTGTACAATTTTCAGACTTGGTTGCCAGTTAAGATTTTCGTCCACAGGGGCGCTAGCTATGAGACATTCGACACCCGAGGCCCCGTTGGGGTGGGTGGTGGGAGGGGGGTCTACGTATCCCACATCCCGTCAGTTTTTAGCCTAAATATCTCGTATCATGTTAATTCCAATTGCAAAACTTAACGAGTTTCCTACTCGATATCCCGTTTTATCTGATCTAAACATCTCATATCTTGTTCATTTTCCCCCGAAATATCCAGCATCCCATTACGTTTTTACCTAAATTTCCCGTATCCCGGAAACACCTAACATCAGTGATATTCGATCCCAATAATATAGAGCGTTTTCACATGAATTTACGGCAGCCATTTTGGTGTTTAAAACAATGAAACGGCGGCCATGCTGGTGTACCAAACCAATCCCGATCCAGTCCAAACCAATCCTGTGGGAGCTGAACTCTTTTCTTATTTAGGAGCTCTTTTGTCCCAATAAATTTGCATAGCTGCTGGCCATGAGAGCGAAAACGCTCTAAATTTTGTGGTCGAATCATTTCTTACCCGCAACATGCTTTGCAGTAGGTCACGTGACAGCATTCACAACAGCAGCCAGTGAGTCGATCAACTTGTCCCGCTTCCAGGTCAGGACCTACTCCCCAATGCTTGTTGCTCATTGGTTGGTTAGTGTGACGTATGTAATCCTGCCACGTCCGCGGTGAGTCAGGGGAGGTACACGTACCTAGAGGAAAAGTTGAAAAGGGACTGTCTTCATAAAAAGGTGGTTATGCAAGAATGAAGACCCCAGTTCAAAGTAATTCTTATAAAGCTCGTTTGTAACCCAAAGAAAATCAAATTTTAGCTGGTTTGCCGCTTCAGCGCTAGAAAACGTGACTAATTTCGCTTCAGCGTTAGGAAGGTCGTGAAGAAGTCCCCATGTAAAAAAGAAGGCGTGCTCATCGTACCTGTTAGGGGTTAAAAAAGTGGTTTTGCTACCTCAGGGTGTTCAGCCTCAAAAGGTCCAGAGCGGGAGCTTTCGCGGTACCTTTTAGGGTATTGAACTGATACAATACGACCGGAGATATTTGAAAATCAACTGATTTTAATTTTGTCTCTGAATTGGTACCTGTTGGGGTAAAAAATTCCAAGCCACGCCCACAAAATAGGATCTTGGTACCTCTTAGGGGTTCTTTTCAAAGTTTCCGACGAGCACCCCCTTCTTTTATACGGAAGTCCCCCAAGAATTTTTCTCTCGGATGACACAATCGAATAAGTCCGAGTCAAACACGAAGCGTGAAAAGGTGTCTTATAAAACGGGTTTTTACCCCCTCACTGCTAAGACCCAGGTACAAAAGAAATGTTCTGTTTTTATAGTAAGCTTATCTCATTACTTCCGGTACACGTAAGCTCAAACAGCTGCCACTATTTCGTTGTTTCATAATATTTTTTTCTTCTAAAGGCATGGTGACTTTTATAACCACGTCGCACTGTAATTAGGGAGGGGTTCATTGGGAGATCACCCTTGACTTACCCTGGTCAGGATGTCGAGGAAGTATTAACAAAACATCACCTTCGCCGACTTTTTCGTCGCTCAAGCCATTCGGCTTCCTTTCAAAGTACTCAACCCTGAACTTGTAAAACCGAGGTTTATAATTGTCGGGCATTTCATCGAGCTTGCATCGGAGATCTTCGGCTACGTCTCGGCCATCCATCGCACTAAACGAACATCGCAACTTTTTTCGTGCCAACTCAAGTGACCGTTGTAACTCCAATGATACGGGTTGACTTTGCCCCCTGCTAGTACCGTCGACAACTACGATTTTTCGCAGCCTCTTTTTCAGAAGAGCTAGAAGTCCCAGGTCCTCGACATGACCACCGTCGCTTAGGTTGAGGACAGCTGGGGGAACTGGGCCTAGGTCCACTGTTTGTAGGAAAAGGCGGGAAAATCGAACATGATAAATGTTGACCACACACCACCTGAGGATAGCAGAAAATATGTCGTGACAATCAGTACCAGAAAAATGATAGCGTCCATTAAAAGGCGAAAGCAAAACAGGTAAACTGATTTCTCTACCTTCCAAAGAATTATTGCATTCCTGGGTAGTACCGGATTTTTTCTCGAAATTGATTTTTCACATGAATAAAACATTGAAAATTTAAAGATAAAATGTACATACACTGTACTCTATCAGTCTTAAAAGAGACCATATGCTAATGAGGCAACAGTTTGACCCAATATGCAGTTCTAAGCTCTCGTAAGCGACCACCTCTCGCAAACGACCACATGGGCTTGACATTTTGGGTGGTCGCTTACGGGAGGTTCGACTGTAAGCATAGATTTTTACGTTTTTATTTCTCCGTTTTCTCCTTGGTTTTAGTTTTGATTGAAAAGATATATCAAGCACTTAAGACCGTGTTTGACTACATTTCCGTGCTTGACCACCTCAACAAGTTCGTCAAAAATGCTCCGCTACGCGTCATATTTTCAGTTCTCTTCTCGGTGTTTAGAAATGTGGTCAAACATGATATTTCTTGTTTAAAATATAATTTAAATTAGAAATGAATTAGTCGTTGTGGTTCACGTTCTCCAGATAACGCAAAATTTGGTCATTTCGCGTTGTTTATTTTTGTGGAGAGGACGGCAAAGAAATGTACGAAGAATGATAACGCACGGGCGCAAGCATTGTAATGCTCATTAAACCTTTTGTTCAGAGACGTTCCTGTTGCTGCCATGCGGGCTCATATGTCCAAAATTTTCGGCCATGGAAGTTTTCTTAAATTCCTATAGAGCGGTTTCCAGTTGAGTATCGTTAAACCAAAATTAAACCAGTTACTTACAAATTAGACTACTCAGCCAATATCAAACCGTAGTAAAACCAAAACCAAAGTACTTTCGACACTCAATTGAAAACAACTCTCACTTCATATTAATTACTTTTATTTCTGATAATGACTCATATAGAGAGACAACAAACATTGTTATTATCCACGATAGCACTGCACGTTTTGTAGCCAACGGAAATTCTCCAAGAAAAACGTTCTCCAAACCTCTTACCTCACGAACCTCTCAATGTATCCGCCATTTTGACGACCTGTTGGTAACGCGGCGATCACCAGCACCAGAAGGAGGACGGTTAGATACCAGGCCACCACAATCACGTGCCAGTCGTCACTAAGGAACGGTGGCAAAATGACTGGAACTACGATAAACAACTGGATGATGATGGGGAGGAACTGGGAATGAGCGAAACATCGTTAGTTATTGTATTAATGCGCAACAAGCCATTATTTCCGAGTTCAGTCTTGTGCCTCTGTTTCAAAACGAGTCTTCGTGTAAAACCTTTCATTTGAAAATGAGCTTGATTTACATAAAAATGAGCATGAGACAGAACACATTTTCGCACAAGACTCGTTTTGACACAGAGGCAAAAGGCAACTCGGAAGTAGCCTATAATGATTTACACTACGAGGGAGAATTTTCGACTATCATTGGAGCATTCATACCATCACTAAAAATTACGAAACACGTGCGCATTAATTTGCACTGCATTGCAATAACATTGCAAGTAATATATCAAACACGAGAGATCGTGTTTTACCACATTTCCAAACACCGAGGAGAGAGCAGGCTTGATTACCAGCCGCTGTTCGGGAAAGGAGACAGCGCTCCTTCCCTGAAGGAAGCGGGAGAAATGTGGACTTGACTCGAGAGAGCGGTGAAAGTCGAGCCTGAGAAGAGAGTTGAACCGTGACGGTTATGACTTTTAAACTTGAAGGCGAGTTTGTCGGAGCGGAGAAAGAAGCAAGATGGATCTTACTCTGCAACAAGAAATTGTCGAGCCCGCGACATCCCTGCTTGGATCAGATATGAGGGATTTGCCAAAGTGCACTCCTAACACCATCTGTAGGTTCCGCACTGTCTCAGTCATGACATCATATACGCCCATATATAGTGCAAGAGCAGCCGCTGACGTAGCCATGACGTCAGACAGCTTAAGATCACGTGGCTGAATTTTTCCTAGACGACAAAAAATTGTCTTGTAATTAATATTGAATCTTTGTTTGTTTGTTCAGCATTAGCAAACTTGAGCTCGAAGCTATCGCATCTATCACATCAAAAGGTAGTCCGTTAGCGTTACATTGAAACACAAATACTGAACATCATTAGATATTAGTTAAGGGGTGTAATTTAACTTAACCTGTAAAGCTGCTATATTCATCCGGGTTCTCGTCTAACCGTTCTATCCCCGTGGGGGAGAGAATGAGAAGCTCGAAGGCGTCCGGGTTGTTTCCATTGGGTTTTTTTTGCCAGTTGTTCGCTACTGTATTACAAAGGTACTCAGGTTTCATGCCTGCAAGGTCACCTGGGAACAAAGCATAGGAATAAACATTGTTACAGTAGCTTGAGATTCAGCACGAATGCCGTTCTTTGATTGGTTACGCTACTATCTATTCTGTTGCAGATAGAAAGTAGCCTAGCGTTTTTTGAAGTGTCTGTGGAGAGGATTTAGAATTTATTTATAAGAACGACTTGGAGATTTATAGTAAAACAATGCGATTATTCGTTCTCGATTTCTATGCGTAATAGGTTACTAGGGTTGCGCCCTCGTCAACTGTTATGCGATAGAAAACTCGAGCTCATAATCTAATCGTTAATTAAAAACAGAAAGTGAACTTACCCAGCGTGACGTAACCTTTGTCTAGCTTCTCCCACTCAGTCTCATCTGCGCATGAGCAAAACGGTATGATATCGTTAACAGATATCCCAGCACATCCTAAGCACCCGGTGTTCTCAGGTGAGAAGAACGCCTTCTGAAGACGCCATCTTAGAAAAAGGAAAGACAGTCTTTTTAGGCGGAATAGATTGCTTCACACTTCACGGAGTTCTTTCAACCTCGTTTCCAGAGACTCTTTTCTTCCCATCCTCTTCTCTCTCTCAATCGCTCCAGGGAACGGGAAGAAGTACTTTACTTTAGAAAAGAGACCCTGGGAACGAGGTTGAAACACTTTCTCAAACTCGTTCCTAGGATCTTTTCTCTGGGCAGAGAAGTCTCCGGGATCGAGGTTATCCTGTTTCTTATTTTCTCTCCCAGACCTAACGCCAGTGGAGAATAAGCCTATGGTGACTAATGAGAATTATTGTCCCACGTCATGGGGACAACCCCAATACTAGAAATGGCGCGCGCTTACGGTCTCCGTCCCCGATTATGGCTCCTGTTAAAACTTCATAGCAAAGGAAGATTCATACATCTCCCAGTAGATCTACAATACGTCGTAAAGCTGCAATCAAAACGACCTGACGAGCCAAAGCTATCATGCGAGAATTGCATTTGAATTCTTCTCTCCGTTGCTTTTTAAATGCTAATCATTTTTAATATATCTCTCAATTTTACAATTCAACGGCTGAAATTTTATGAAAATTAATTCTCTAAATGTGTTTTTTCAGGACAAGTTCTGAATGTGACCTTGCCGAGACTACCAAAGTAGTCAAAGTAAAACTGCAGAGAAGCCATTTGACCTTAAAACCTACAGCAGCGTTTAAATTAAATTTCTACAGGACACAAAATTGTTGCTAGTTTCCGGCTAGGGTTGCTAGGCAATGCCCAATGATCTAAAGGACATTGTACTGTTTGAAATTCAAAATATCCCTAGGGGACTTGGTCCCCCAAATCGCCCCTTTCTCTAAGGTTACCACTGATTTCTGTACGGCCTTTCGATGAACGTTTGTTAAAAAATTACTTAGTATCGTATTCCAGTGACTTCATTCAACCAACATCTACTTAATACCAGCATTTTCAGTTTTACTAAGACCTCTTTAAAGGAATTTTTTCCTAGCTCCTTCTTCCCCGAGTACTGACGCAAAAATGTCTTTGCTTTTCATGATTCTCCAAAAATTGATTCTTTATAAATGAATCATTAGTGTATCATGGCAGACAATATATTTGATCTATCAGATCTGGCTTTGCTTTTCAAAGGCATTGAATTCCTTTCCTATTTATCCTGTCATTTTGTTTGAGGACTAGAAAAAACGCGGCAGCTGTCTTAAATGACTTACCTGCCGTATGTTTGAACCGCCGCCATTTTGATCAGCCCTAGAAAGGGTCCTGCCCACAGGAGTATGGCAGATCCAAGCAATGCCTTGTAAAACGTGTCCTCTGAATAACTAATGAAGAGTACAGGGCTTTTGTACACTCGCCATTTTGTTATGTAAGCATAAGCGTAAACCAGTAGGGCTAAGGAGGCCATGTTTCGCAACGGCGGAAAGCCGAGCCACAGAGCAACACTGGCAAGTAAAATAAAACCATTGACATACACCGAAGTGTGAACTCGAAGAAACACTTCAAAAAACCATGGAAGAAACGTCATGACTAGTAAAGAAAAAGCACTGAAGTAGAGTATTTTTATTTTGCTGCGCATGGCGGAACGACAGGGGTGAAACAGCAACTTCAACAGATAAAACCCCGCAGAACATGCGAACAGCGCGCCAAATAAAGTGAAGGTTTCGTCATGACTTTCTACAAGCACGCAACCCTCGGTTTCGGTGATATTTAGACCACTGGTGCATTTGAAACCCGCACGAAGTATATCACCAAAGAGGTAATCTACAGAAAAAGCTGTTGGCAGAGCAAAGGCTAGGGTTGTGAAAGCTGGAAGAACAATGGCCACTACAACAAGGAGAAGAAGAAGTATTATAGTATCAAGGATTCCCATGAAGGGATTGCTCCACGAGCAAAACGTCCCACAACGCTGTCTTAAGCGACTGAAAAACTTCTGGTGCCATTCCGGGCTGTCTTGTTGATTGTGACGGTACTTCCAGTCGAGGTACGAAGCCCCGGTAAAGCCGCCTCCCGAAACACAGCTCAAGTAATCCAAGCCGATCTCGTGTTGAAGAATGTAGCGTAACACGCCAGAGCAAAGCGCTGCAGATCGGATTCCACCACCAGAAAATGCAACGCCTGTAGACGACATGGTTATCTGACGAACAAATTGTACCTCTTTTTCACACTGCTAAGACTTTGTTTTGCTGTCAGACCCCCTTAAATTAATTTCCGATCTGTTCCCTTTGTTGGGTCCGACGTGACACTTTTCAAGATGCCGTAGAATTTTGAATGGTTTCTTCAGATCTTTCGAGTTTCAGTCAGCTTATTTAGTCAGCTAGCTGTGGAGGTTTAAGTAGCCTTTTTAATACGAACGATTTTTAAGTTGTTTCAAATGCCTCCCTTTTTAAATAATCGTTTCCGGTCAATTTTTCTCTTATTTAAATTAATTTGAACCGAGAAACTCAGAACGCGCTATAAATTGAATTTTTCACTTTAAATAGCTTTTCTTTACCATCGCTGCGTGTGATTTGAAAAGACGAAATTATTTTTCGGTTTAATTGTCTAAGTTGTCGTTTTTATTTCAACAAACCACGCAATTGTTATCACTAAGTTTAGTTATAATTTAATGAATAATAATAAATCGACACTTCTGTAATGGCCATTATATGTCTAACACATTGTTTTATAGTAACTTGATTTTGGTGTTATGACCAGAAAAACTGAGAAAAATGAAGACTGCACGTAAGAAATGTCTGGTGGACGGAAGTCTTTGAAATTACGAAGAGTATGACTGATTTATATGCTTTCAAGAACCAGTGTACAACTGCAAGAAAAGAAAACATAATTTTATAAGACCATAAGGAACTTTTTTTTCGCCGTAAAGAGAAAAGTATCTGTTTGCCTTCAGAGAATTGTAATTTAGTTTTAGTCACTACCAACAATAAACAGAATTTCAATTATAGTTATTGGGTATTGTTGCCTAGAAATATTCGGCATTTTCAGATCAATTTGAATGACTTCTGCTCCATTCCCCTTGGAGGTCAGGTGATTTTGCTTCCAGAAGTCGGTAATTCTCGTCACCATTCTCATTCTCAGAAACGAAAAACGCAAGTTTGACAAGTTCAGCCTCTATTAGACATGTACTGGGGCCCAGGTCCTTCCTTTTGATTCTCGTCCCCAGAGGCCTCGATTTTTGGTCAGCACCAAGAATCGCTGACCAAACGGATCGAAGCCTCTGAGGACTCTCCGAGGACGAGGAAACAACAGAACCAGGAAACAACAGAACCAGGAAACAACAGAACCAGGAAACAACAGAACCAGGAAAATCGCTCAAACACACTGTAAAACTCAAGACATACAACAGGCTACGGAAAAGACAAAAGTAAGGGTATTTTATTGATCTACTCAGCTCAACTACCCCGATTGTCTTTTTAGGCATCAATTCCCATACAAACCCTTAGAGCAGTTTTCAACTGGTTGTCATAAAATCAACTCTGGCTAGTCACAAATTACACAGACAATCCAATGAACCAATCAAAACTTAAAGTAAATACATGCAGCACACACAAAGCGCGGGAAAACGTGTCCGAGCAAGCCGCAATTGGTTTGGAATTTACTTTTGATTGGCTGACAAAGTGGCGCGATTTTTTTTTACGGATGTAAGCAAATCGCTTAACGTGGTGATACATATGCATAACTAAGGAAAATGCGAATTATAATAAATACAATAGGAATAATAATAAATACTCACGATCAACATTCGGCCAACGGCAGCGTTACGTAACTACTGCATATGATGTACGTTCGGGTTTACCTTTGTGGCTTTCTAAGCGTCAACTACCACAACCTCGTCATAGGGTCTTCTCCTCGACGATTTTCAAAATGGCGACTCGTCGCCATTTTGAAAAGTAGAGAAGACCCTGGGCACGAGATTGCTAACTAACGCGTGAACAACTTTTTGCCTATCTTATGTCGTTCGTAAACTTTTCAGCCAATCAACCCCACAAGAGCTGGATTCCTAAGTCTATCTGTTGGTTTCCAAGAGGAGTTTCATGCATCCAGTCATGGCCAGGAGCCCATATCACAGGCCGCATGTAGGTTTCCCCGTTTTGTACCAAGTTTTGCAAACAAACGAGTAAGAAGAAAGAATAAATTATCATTTAGTCAAAGCCTCAATTATAAAACCTTTAATACAAGAATGATCAACCTCGTTCCCAAGCTCTTTTCTACTTTTCAAAATGGCCGGCGAGAGAAAACAGGCCTTCTCTCCCGACGAACCTCTATTTTGAAAATCGTCGAGGAGAGAACCTTCGGGACGAGGTCGAAGAATGATCTATCTTTCTTCGACTCTTTCTTCTGGTTTTAAAGCAGAGGCTGAGCCGACTGCTCTTTGTCCAGCGGCATTACTTTGACTGTCTATTTTCATCCAAGTTAATTGTCCGCTCTCTTTTGCACAGAAGTTTTCTAAACGCTCGTCTGAACTCTGAACTAGCAAACGCATACACAAGCGGATTGAAGGAAGAATGAAGGTATGCCAGCCAGCAAGCGACAGTGTCAATAATTTCCACCACGCAAGTCGTCACTCCTTTATCGACGAGAATTACAACGTTAATTATTTCAAAGGGCAACCAGCAGATCACAAAGCAGAGCACGACAATCCCAAGGGTCTTCGCGAGCTTCAGTTCCCGCGCAAAGCTGTTCGTACGCCTTGTCGGCGATGACGTGTTCGCACTTGATGACGTCATCCCAGCACGCCTTGCGTGCCTTTTTGCAATAATGTAAATTTTAGAGTACAAGACAATCATAATTATAAATGGAAAAATAACATTTCCGATGAGAAGAAAACCATGAAACAATGGATTTAAATCAAAGCTATACGTTTGACCTTCCGGCGGGTCTAAGAGAAGGAAGATTAAAACGGCGATGGCGAAAGAATACACCCACACAGTTGCTATCATCAATTTAACTAGATTCGGTGTCATCCATATGCTATAGCGAAGTGGATAAACAACGGCCAAAAATCTGTCTATACTTATAGATGTGAGATTTAACACTGAAGCTGTCAGGAAGAGAAAAAACAGCGCGTTCCATAAATTACAAACATAGCCTCCCAAAGGCCATCGAGGAAATGCTATCCAATATGCTATGTCGAAAGGCAAAACAGACGCCGCGACCATGATATCCGAAAGAGCCAGGCTGAATATAAACTGTTCGGAAAACGACTGCAGGTACAAACATTTCACACACGCCACACAAACCAGGGTGTTCCCAAAAAGGCAAGAGATAATTATGAAAAACATGAACACCAAACCGACGACTGTAAATCCCGCTCCGAGCTCGTCTTCGCACAGAAGTAAATCGAAAACGTGTTCGTGCGATGATTCGTTGCTCATCGGTGAAGTTTGAAGTCGTCGCTGCGTCAATAATGGAATCTTAAAAGTTAAAACCATAAGGAATATATGTCTTGTTATGCTCAAAATTTAAAAGCTTCAGATAAGAGATGAACATGCGAAACGGCAAACACCGTCGAAATGCACCTACCAAATGCTCACTTTTCTTGGGGTGTTAAATTTAGCTTTATGGTGCGGAGATTTTTCTGCGGATGCTTTCAGCTCGAATGCGCTGCTTTTAAGTCATTACGAAATGACAGGTGTGGCCTTTTATGCTTTCAGTTCCAATTCGCTCTTACAGTAGCGCCAGACAATCTAATGATGAGCAATCCGTTGTTCGGTAGATAGCAATTACTGGATGGCGGAAATAAATATTACATTTGTCTTGTCAAATTGTCTTGAATAGTTTTCCAAATCTTTCTATCAGTTGTTGTTCAGTCACGGTTTTCCTATGCCGCAGAAACCATTTGCCAATCGATCACTTCAGAAATATTATCGTCAGGGGACCCTGCGATTGAAAAGTCCTCAGGCTTTTCTTTTCTCTTTCACTGGAACAATGGCTCTACTTTGACTTCGTTCCCTTCAAAGCGAGCATAAACCAAATGCTTGCAATCTACTCAACTTGCCAACCTTTTCCGTCTACAGCGCAAATCTCGACAAAATCAATTTTAAGGATCCTAAATCTTCTACTATCATTATTACAATGTTGACAGGGCAAATAATCTAGCTCCGCCTAGAGGTGCAAAGTAATCTATCTCCACAAAAGCGCTAAACATAAACTTCAAGAGGAAAATCTCACAGCAAACACTGTCTCAAGCTGTCAATGTATGAGATGATTTTCAACGAACACAGCAGGTTCCTCTCACAACCCTGTCGCGAAAGATTTTTTCAACAGCAGGATGGCTTGCAACTGAATTTAAAAAGACTTTTCCCGATGTGTTTTTTCAAGAAATTTTGTCAAATTTTCGAAGAAAATTTGCAAGGGTAAAGATTAACTATGCGAGACGCACCTATGATTTTACGACATTTTCGCTCGTTATATTTATCATCGACTGCTGTGTACATATAAGAAAATTATGGTTTCAACAGCTGTCGTGTTATTTCAAAATGATATTGCTAATGGCCCATCGAAGAAAGTTCTAATTATACCTTTTTCAATATGTGAAACGTCGAGAAGTCATTTAATGGCGTTTGGCAAGAGGTTACAGCCTCTGAAAGGGAAAGTTTTGGTTAAATATCAATTTTAAACCTTTTCTCTATTGTTTTCTTTTTTCCTAGAGCCTTGTTCAAGTTTGCACCTTGCTAAAACCAACAAAGAAGCGCCGGCAAAAATGGTAAACTTTTCCAACAAAATTCGGATTTATGTTTTGCTAATGTCCTCGAACGATCTAAGTGTACCTTCATAATCATTTTTATATTTCTCTTTTTCTCACTCTCTAGTTCTGTTTTTAAACCTGTTTACCAGGAAAAGTAGTCTATTCCAATAACAAAATTGAATTTACGATATCTAAGGAAATCAAACGGCAAATGATTGGCTGGGTTTTTAACTGCTGTCAATCGAAGCAGGAGACTATATTGCCAATGTCGTCATGCTCACAGTAGACTCCAAGGCATTCAGCAGTCACATTTTCTGAATGTCTGGATGCTCTCAGAAAACCAATACCTTGACAACCTTACTTCAAAACGTGTTCCTAGGTTTATTTCATTGCAATACGTTTTTTAAGGCCAAAATGAGGCGCCTGGAGACTTTCTTGCAGATCCTTCTTTCTCTAATTTTTCTAGCTCCGGTTGTCCAAAGGATGGATAATGTGGGTTGTCTTAGCCACACTTTGAAGAACTGAACCCCTCCTTATGATGACCCAATCACAACTGGAGCCCATCATTTTCATATTATGTTTGAGTTTAAAAATACAAATTTTATACGCAGCGCATTTTAAAACACGAAAAAGAATGAAGGAAAAATTGCCCAACTTATTATAACGAGCCAGGGGCCGGCTTCTGTACAATTACAAACAAGTTTCAGAGCAAACAAGTTTACACAATTTATTCTTCACGGAAAGCTCGATTACTGAGCTGCCCATCATTCGATTTCCGACGACTTCCGAGCATTTTCCGACGATGTCTAGCACATTTCCAGGCCTTCGCAAGCTTGCCTTGTTCCCAGCATACCTCGCGCGCTTGGAACTGGAAACGTCACCAAATCCAATATGGACACCGCCGTGCTGGTAAGTTAGGAGGTGTATTTCTACGATATTCCTGTACTGATAAAGTGTATTAATCGATACATTTCTTTCAGATAGTAACCTAAGTCTAAGGAGGGAAGATTAGTGCATGAAGATTAAACGATCGACCCGAGATTTTTAATTGCAAGGGCAATTGTTTAGTTCGCTTTTCCATTGTAAGCTGAACTCAATTCTCTCATTATTTTTTGTCATAGGAAGCTTCTTTGTACACAGTAAAAGCAATTGCTATTTTGGACAATGATGGTGAAAGAGTTGTAGCAAAGGTACGATTGTATGTCTGATAGTTTAAGCTTATATATACGTAATCAAGCATAATAGTTTTGATTGATATTTAGTGTTTTCCTTACAACTTTGTCATTTATTCGCAAAAAAACACTTAAGTTCCTTGTCTTACGGTCAGAAAACAGCTTAATCTCTCGATATATCTTCAGTGATTACCTCCCATCAAAGTTTTTTTTGTCTTGTTGAAAGACATTAGACTAGAGCTAGCCTTCTTGAAGGTTAGTTTTGGTTTCCATCGCGTGACCGACAGGGAATGGTGTAGAGGAAAGCCAGGGGACCCCCCTCCAACCTTCACCTAAGATACTTTCTGATTGGTTCCCTGAGCAGTCAAAATTTTGTAATGCAGGGACTAAGATGGATTGCTTACAAATACCTTTTGTCAATTTTGAAGCTTTTTTAAACTCGTATAAAAGAAAACTGTTTGCTATTGAGTAGAAACCTTTTAATGTTATGTGTGGCTAATAATTTTGTTTCAAGTGGCTGTTTTTTTTTTTTGGCAAAATGTTCCTTTGGCTTGCAAAATAAAACCTGACCAATATTTCTCCCCAAAACACAGACCACATCCTAGGTCAATAACATCCATTGATACCAGCCTCACTATACAGCCTGACAGTATGTCTTGGATTACCTTTTACAAGGCAACAAGTTTCTCTTCCCAGTTTTGTGGCATCTATATTCCACGTATTATCTTCTTCTCAAAATACTCCTTCCCACTCCTAAAGCCAAATCACTGATCATGTGCAATTTTTTTGATATCTCACTCTGTTCTATTGCATTATAGTATTATGACGATACATATCCAACAACGAAGGAACAAAAAGAGTTTGAGAAGAATCTTTTCAGTAAAACACATAGAGCAAATGGTAAGATTCCTTTCTGTATCATTTTACCTATATGTCCTTTATTTAATATCTTCATTTTCAGGGCTCTGTAAAGCTCTAAGCTGTTTTAAAACTAATGGTAGGCAGATTTTGAATGAATGTGGACATTAAACCAATAATCACTGACCAGGCCCTTGGAGTTAAATACATTTGAATCTCTGTTTAACCCACAAGAGATAAATATTTGTGGGCCTTTTATTTTTTGAAGGGGTCGGAGTGGGGAGAAATAAATCAGTGTCTTCCTATTCAGATCTTCTTGGATATCCAGCTTAATTTGCAAGGGGGGATGGGGTGGGGAGACATCATCTAAATAAGTGTTCTCCTATTCAGAGTTTCTTGGGTTTCCAGCCTTAATTTGCAAGGGGAGGGGGGAGGGACTTAAAAGAGTTTTGATGGTATTTCATGGGTCAACAATATGCTGATCTTAAATTTTTTTTTTTTTTTTCATTTAGCCGAAATTATAATGCTAGATGGCTTGACCTGTGTGTACAGAAGTAATGTGGATCTCTTCTTCTATGTAATGGGCTCTTCTAATGAAAATGAGGTAAGAGCCATTAATTATTAACTGTCTGAGAGACTTTTGCTGCACAGGCAGACATGTGAAAACACTGAAAGGAAATTTTCAGTGGGGTTTATTTGTTTTCCAGCTGATCCTTGTAAGTGTGTTAAATGCATTTTATGATGCAATCAGTCAAATGCTGAGGAAAAATGTGGAAAAGAGGGCACTGATGGACAATTTAGATGGTGTCATGTCAATAGTTGATGAGATTGTGGATGGAGGGTAGGTATCACTTTCCATATTCTCCTTACTGTTTTTGTAAATGTCCTGTAATCCTTTTTGGGTGTATTTGGTTTTCTGCTGACATCGTCCCTAAAGTAGTCCTCAATTCTCATAATTTGCCTCTTTGTATTGTTATAAGGTGTAGAGAATTTGCCAGTTAATCAGAAATGGTGATCATGTTTATTCGCTGATGTACTGTGTTTATTCAAATCACAGGGTAATATTGGAATCTGATGCTTCCTCGATCATGCAAAGAGTCGCCATTAAGGTATGACCTCTTTTAACTACCAAGAATCATACGTACATTGATATTTTCTGATAAGAAAAAGTTGGGTAAATGAGTACTGTACATAATCCTGTTTTTAGAGGTGCTGTCATAGTTCGTCTTGAAAAGAAATGATTGGAATTGATTTTTTTATTTAGTTGAGTCTACATTTGAGCCTAGTGGCCCATCAGGCTGTTACTTATCTCAGTTTTTCTTAGCATTAAGAAAGCAGTAGTACTTCTATACCTCCTGGATGTTTTGGTATTCCATCAAATTGTTACCCCCGTACCCCTTTAGATGACCGAGTGGAGAGAGGCACTGTGAGAGTTAACCTTCTTACCCTAGAATCCAGCATGGTGACCCTGCCCAGGGCTTGGGACCAGAGCACCCAATCTACATGTAGAGTCCAGTTCACCATTAAACCATTAGGTCAGCGTGTTTTACTAAGGCTACGTTTTACTTGTCCCCAACATATTTTTAGCTAACCCTTTAAACAAATATTGTTATTCACTTTTAGACTGATGATGTACCAATCACAGAACAAACAGTAGCACAGGTAATACAATGTGCATCCTGCTTTCAAATTTGGTGTCACATTTTCAGGACTTATTTCCCCAAAATCAATCAACATAAAATACATTTTACCCAGAGCCAAGCAAGATCCATCCCTGTTTCCACTGTAATAAACACCTGTCAAGCATGAAACTTTTTACATTCCATAACCTCAATTGGACCAGTTGCGATCTCCAGAGCAACATGGTGTGATTCCAGAAAATACTCGTACCCCTCCCACTGAGGTTTTGGTTTGAACCCGTCCACCCCTGAAATTCCAGTTTTGGTTCATACTTTCCTTTAAGATTAAATTTTACTATTATATTATTATTAGTAGTAAAAATGTTTAGAGATCTCCCCCTTCCCCTTGGAACTTCCAACACCTCTCCTTGGGGTTCGCCTGCAAACACAGACGGATTTCCGTCCTTGTTTCATGCCACTGAAAAATACCAACTAAAGCCAGAAAATCCCTCTGTGTTTGCAGGTGACCTTGGGGTGGGTATAGATTTTTTCTGGAAGTACAGGTGACTGTATACAATGTTGACTAGACCCTAATTAAATGTTCTTAATAACTAGGATTGTACGGTCTGGTAATTATTATTTTAACTGATCACTGTTTGTTTCACACTCTAGGTTCTCCAAACAGCAAAAGATCAGCTGAAATGGTCTCTCCTCAAGTGATTAAGCTATAAACCCCCAAATTAATATTTAACATGTAGAAAACATAAGTCAGACAACTCTTAAATTGCAAATGCCCATTGAGAGCAGATGGACACAACGTAGACAGGAAATCTGCTTTAAAAGAAAGACGGCATGTCTTTGAGCCATGTGGAGCTATTTTTCAGTGAACTCATGATACTGTCATTGTGTTCCTCTCCATTCTTCAATAGAATAATTATAAACTTGGTTGTAGTTGAAGGAATGATTAAGTGATGATCAAAATAATGGCTGCCCAGGAGATATGTCATACTGAACTCTGTAATATATAATTTCCTGTTTTCTATTGCACAGCTGAAATTACTTTTTACTCCTGAGTAATGTTGCATTTTGCAAATCAGAGAAAACAAATAATGCCCATCTCACACATGAAAGATGACTCTGTTTTCCCAACCTGTTTCCCTCTCACCGCTCAGGACAGGAAAAAAGACCTTGGGAATGAGCTTGCTATTTTCCTTTCTTGTTTGCATATGGTTTGATTTTTCCACATAAATGTAGATTTTTTTCGAAGGGCATGAATGTAGAAATTTGGAAATGGGAACAAGCTCAGAATAAAACATTATTATACAAATGGTTTAAACTATTATTGTCTGTTGTGGTGTGACTTTAACTGTTATTAGATTGTTATGTTCAAATGATGTATGCTCATCATAAATCTCCTGGTTAATTTGAAAGAGTTCAGTCAAGGCATTTTGAGCTATTTTTGCTAGGTACAAAATTACATTTAAATTGAAGGAAACTTGAAAATAGTAGTTTACTGAGATAGAAAAGCACCAAAGAGATAATTTTAATAAACCATAAAGGAACAAGAATGGTTAAGGGTGGAGAAGATTAACACGGATTTACAAAATATTATTAATGCTGAACTTGAAAAAATTTTACCTAAACTTCAAGTTGCAGAAACTGTGACGTAGCTCCTTTAATGATCATCAGTTTGTTACATGAAAATCCTTTCATTTAATCCCCAACCTCCTTGAAAATTTACCTTTCCGTTGACAGCACATAAAATAATATTTAATCACTTGACCTCAAACTTTTGCTAAACAATCTGTGTTCCCCATTAACTGAGATTGTGATAAATATCCTTGCTCCTTTTTTTTTACTGAACTCTTTAATAAGGGAAAAAAATAATTATAAGGAATACTGAATGTAGAAATCACATCGACTCGCAAAAAAATTCCAAGTTCCAGATGAGATTTGAACCCACAACCCTCCGTGATCTAGCCGGATGCTCTAACCACTGAGCTACTGGAATCTCTGGTGAGCAAGGGTGAAATGTGGGTCTTTGACTAATAAATAAATATACAGGAAACAACCAAAGAGTTAAGATATTGATAATTTATAAGGTACAGTGTGTTATTGTAAACCAGGTAATCTTTAATTATTGTACTTTGAACAATGAGACCCAATACACCAGCAAAAAGATCCAAAACAACAAACATATCCAGCAATTGTGTTTTACTAAAATTACATTCTTCAAAATGTTTTAACTGACATGGGTATAATTTCAAAACCCCAGATTTTAAGTCAATGATCCATAATTTTTCTAATATTTTTTTTTGTAACCTCTGTTATTTATATCTAACTAAGGAGTCTCACATTCGCATCTTGAAAAGTTAAAGCAAAATTAATAAATAATGTCTTGGTACAGATTTATTGGCTGATAAAAACATTTACAACAATGTGTTTGCAGCAATTTTTTTTTTTTAATCAAATATGGTTTAATAATAGCAAGGAGTCTGTGAAACTTGAAGCACTTTGTACATGTTACAACCCCGGGGAAGACTCCAATATAAATAGGATGGGGGTGCTAATCATACCTTTTTCTTCAGACCTTTTTTTTAAAAACAAGGTTTTGGTATCTCTGTGGGTGTTCAGCCTCAAAAGGTCCACAGCAGGAGCTTTTGCAGTGCCTGTTAGGATACTGAGCCGAAAACAATATGACAGGAATAATTTGATGTTTTAGAGTTGGTACCTCTTTAGGGTGAAAAACATTTCCAGCCACGCCTACAAACCAGGATCTTGGCACCTCTTAGGGGTTCTTTTCAAAATTTCAGACAAGCACCACCATCTTCTGACATGGGAGTCCCACTGCCCACGTTACAACCCTTTGTTGACTTGTGTGCAAAATGATCCTCGAAACTAAGTTGGATGTTAATGTGGATGAACAACTCTACCTGAACTGTGAGTGTCTGTCAAAGAATTATTTCAATTTTCAAAAAATTTCCTCGTTCCCTACATACAAAATAAAGTTTCAATTCTTTATATAACATTAAATTTAACATTAACATACGATGTATTCCATGAATGGCCGCCATTCACATCAGGGTCACAAATTATCACTTTTAAATGCTGTTGCTATGAACCAGTCAAGGTGGTCCCAAAAATGTACAAGAATTGCCCCTCACATTTCCTAGTTCCAATCTGTTACACTTGACAAATATTTTACATTGTCTGCTATTACTTTTGAATTTTATTATCTCTGTGAATTTTCCTTGCATGGGCTTGCATTTTCAATAGCATCTACACATTGCCTATAAGAAAGTACAAAACTAATTAATAATTTAACAATCTAAACTGTTCAGCAGGGTTGTAACAAAGCTTTGACCTTGGTGGTAATATTTTTGGAGCAGGTGACTAATTGGATAACCCAGCAGAATTGCTGACCAAGATGTTGAAGTACATCCACACAGCTTGCTACTATTGACATATCTGTACCACAGTTAAAACATATTTGTTTCATTTTATTGGCAAAAGAAATTCCAATCTGTTTCTTTCAAACCCCACAGAGTGTTTTATCCCACATTCACGATGGGGACCTTACGCATATACGACAGCAATGACGAGGACCACGCCTAGTAAACAATGTGTTTCATTACGTATTTATTAACTATCCAGTGTGTCTGTTGGTATCAAAACTTGCCCCTGCTGAATATGCTATGAATGCATTCAGTTCCAAATAGAAATACGAAAAATCAGCCACTGTGGTTCATGTTCTCCAGACAACGTAGAATGTGGTATTTCACGTTGTTTTGCAGAGGATGGCAAAGAAATGTACCAAGAATTATAACGCACATGCACAGCCATTGTTCTGCTCATTAAATTTTTTTTTTTTGGTGATGTTCTCCTTGCTGTTGTCATCGTGTTTTGGGTAAGGTCCCTAATGGTTGATGGGAGGGCCTACATTGCTACCTCCATAACCAAGGGGCAATATTAACTCAGAAATCATTGCAACTCACCTAGCTGTACTAATTTAGCACAGTTGAGCATCCTACTTAATATATCTTCCACAGACACAATAAACAGGGAAAATGGACTGTGGTTGATAAAAAAGGGCTGGTATGCAGATAAAAAACAAGATTAAGCTTCACTAATTTATAGCCTTCATTAATATTTTTGCTTCAACATTTTTTAGACAATTTTCTAGCTTTGTTGTCCATACGACAAAAAGATCCTAAAAAGGTTCACCTGCGATTAGGTGGGTTTTTTCACTGTTTTTTTGGGTGGAAAAATGAGGAAGAAAAGGATTGCCTGATCACAGGTTAAAATTTAAAATGTTCCCATTGTGGGCTCTATTACTTCAATCATTCCCTCCAACAAGAGCTCGACATGTACAACTCCATTGAACTTACTTGTACAAATAAAAGAAAATGTATCCACTATGTTGTCGTTTGTACCGGACACCATGTTCTGAAATCTGCAATTAAGCACAAGTAAACAAGCAATGAGCAATAATTTATATTTAGTTGTTATTAGTGCCACTACAAGCCACTGATGATTGTAGAATCTTCCTTACATCAAGGCCTAGGCACTTTCTTCTTATTCACTTGCTTCTAACAAGGCTTTGGCTAAAAACCCTAGGCATTTTAATTACCACAAAATGCAAGGTGACCTAATGGTTACAAGACTCTGGAATAACAAGTTTGAATTCCAACCATAGCACCAAGCTAACTCGCGTGGAAGTATATATTTGAAAGGCAGAGGTAAAGTCTGCAAACAAGCCAAGTGGCCCAACAGGCTGGTGCTTATCTCCGGTTTCTGTAGCACAAAGTGACTAGGAGTATTTGTACTCCCCCCTGGATGGGATGCTAGTCCATCACAGGGTTACCCCCAGCATTAAATTCACCGGTACTCATTCATACATCTGGGTAGAGAGGGGCACTGTGAGAATAAATAAAGTGTCCTGCTCAAGAACACAACATAATGCCCCTGACAAGGCTGAAACCTGGACCACTAGATCAGGAGGAAAGTGCACTAACCACGAGGCCACCTCGCCTCCGTAATATATATTTGAAAGAGTCTTGTAAAATTATTCGCTAGGCATATTGTTCTGCAAGAGAACAGGTACAGGTCCAGAACTGGAGTCACCTTTGTTGCTGTAGAGTCATCATAACTTGTCCACTGTTTAGTTTTGCAATCAAAAACATCAGAAATATAGTGTCCTGGATTGAAAAGTAGAAGTCAGACACAATATTAGTATTTCTCAAATTCCTAAAAGTTGCATTTCACAATGACATGAAAAGACAATAATGCAGGATCATACAGGAGTTAAATTCAAAAGGCATACATTTAAAAACCAATTTCCTTACATGATTGTACACTTCCAGAATAAATTAATATTGAAATAAATATAATTTATTTTCTGATTATTTCTTTACCATTTACATAAAATATAGAATGTACAAATAACTAATCCCTTCTGACCAAACCCTTTGTTCAAGTCAGCGTCACTTTACATTTCATGTTAATTAAAAACTGATAGAAATTTGATCAACAAGAAATCTTCAAGCCTCATGATTTTCACACATTTTGCTCCTCTCAACCCACGTACAATTCAGGGGTAGATCCAGGATTTTTTAAGGCGGGGTAGCATGCAGCACCAATGGGTAAAGTCTGCATACAAGCCAAGTGGCCCATCAGGCCGGAGCTAATCTCGGTTTCTGTTGCATGAAGTGACTAGAAGTATTCTTACTCCCCCTTGGATGGGATGCTAGTCCATCGCAGGGTTACCCCTAGCATTAACTTTGTCGGTACCCATTTATACACCTGGGTGGAGAGAGGCACTGCAAGAGTAAAGGGTCTTGCCCAAGAACACAACACAATGTCTCCGGCCAAGGCTTGAGGGCTTGAACCTGGACTGCTTGATCCAGAGACGAGCGCACTAACCATGAGGCCATGCGCCTCCCACAGAACCAATGGAGCATGCCCCCAAAATTTTGCAATTTGAGAATTGGAACCTAATTGAAAACTGTTACACCAGAAATACAGTGGAACCTCGATTTAACGAACCTCTATTTAACGAAGTCCTAGATATAATGAGCAATATTCTATGTCCCGGCCAAAGTTACAGTAAAATGTATGGAATAAAACCTCGATATAACGAACCTCGATATAACGAATTCTTCGATATAACGAAAATAATCCGGAAGCCCAAACATAAAATCTACCTCGATATAGCAAATTACAATGTCAACACGCGACAGAAGATAAACGCTGAACAGATCAACAGTCAACAAATCCTTGTAATCCTTATGGCATAACCTCTATGTTGTAACATTTTTAAATTGCTACTCTGAAAGTGACGTTCTTTTGTAAACAAAAGCTGCGCCACTGCTTAAAAGTGAAAATAATTGATATTGAAAGCCACCATGCTTAATGAATTGCATCTCAGAATGCAGCACTTTTGGGTGATGAAAACTGCATTGAATTTTGTGACAGAAGTCACTCGTGTTACAAATCAATCATAACTATGACCTCGATATAACGAACCCTTGATTTAACGAACAAATTTGGCCAGTCCCCAGCGACTTTGTTAAATTGAGGTTCCACTGTACGACAATGCCACAAAGTACAGGGGTTTCATTACTGTTTTGAGCAGAAGGGCAACTGGTTTTCACAGGCAGGCAAAACCTTTTTGAACTGAACTCTAATTATAAAAGAAACTTTCCCTAGATTGTCAAACCAGGTGGTCAAAATCTTCCTCACGGCCAGTCAATTTGCCCGGTGCCTGGCCCTTAATGAAACCCCTAAAAAGTAGAAATTACATTGAGGTACTTGTCTAGAGTGTTTGCCTTTATTTCTGCCCTAATAAATTTCCATACTTTTTTACATCTGAGAACTCTGTACTTAATTAAAATAAGCCACAGGACAAACCTGAAGTAGATCTAGTACCAAGATGGCTGACAATGCTAACCAGTCTGTATGAATGTGTCGAAAGCTCTCCCTCGTCATCCTAACCAACCACAATTGATAGTAACAATACAGGTTATTAATTTGATAACTACAAATAAAATTACGTGTTGAGAAGATGAAAGTCATTATTATATAAGCTGCAGTGTTTTACAAGGATTTCTAGCCCTAAGAAAAGCCATAATTGAACATGTGTAAAATTATGATAGTTTCATGCACTGTGGTGATATCAATGAAGTGATGTTCAATGTAATGTTTGACCATTTAAATGTACTCAAATTTGTTGGTGTTTGGAAGTCTTTGGCAATCTTCAGTTATCTTTGGTAATCTTTGGAAAATGGTCTGAAAAGGTTTGTGTTGCTTTCCAAAAACTATTGAAGAATCTTAGGAAATATTCAGAAAGTGGTTGGAAATATTCAGAAAATTGTTAAAAATATCATTATTAGTATGTTTATATAATAAACAAAATACTACATGGCTGCTTGTAGATATGGAATTTCTCTTATTGTGTTCAACTTTATATTTCACTTGTTTGCTGTGTTCACTTCTAAGACATTGAGTTGAACACTCTAAGAGAAATTCCGCATCTACCCACACCATGTATTATTCTGTATATACATTACACAGTCTTACTATAAAATACACTGTAGAAGAGATGTGAACAAAAAAGTGCTGCAGGATGATTTTTTAAAATCATGATAAGTGTATTGCCTTCAGTTAGAAGTGAGTCTTTGACAATTTCTCCTAAATGTTCTAAATTCTGCCACCCTCATTAAGTGTTCACAGTTGATTATTGTAAATATGAACATGCTTTTCCAAGTTCTTTGCCCACATGTAGTTTTAACATTCTAGACCAAAAACACTTTGGCCAAAAATAATTTGCTGTTTGAAAGCTTCACCAACCTGTAAAATTAAAATACCTGAAAATTTGAATCTGTTAAATTCTCTGTATCCATTGCCGCTGGTGATTCAGGCTGGTCTGTTGCAAAACCTTGCTCTTCAAACTCTACAAAACAAAACAAAAATGTCTGGTAAATCATACAACAGTTGCCACCAATTTGCACTGTTACACTTGCTCTTTGGGATTTTCAGTGCTTTTGATAAGATTCGCTACCCACTAGAGCTCAAGCAAGTGAATTACCACAGCATGTTTAACAAATAGACATCAGTTAAAATTTCATGCATAACAGGACAGACCCATGAAAAACTGACATCGATTTGTTTTTTTATGATTATAACAAATTGCCAAATCGTCTGCTCTCACTCGTTAATGCATTGCATAAATTACAAATTCATGTGTCTGTCCGCTTATCGACAATGAAAATTAGCCAATGAGCACGCAAGAATTTCTGCAGTTATCGTAAAAAAGAAACTCATACCCAATAGCCTGGGAGAGGTGGATTTTACAGTCAGGCTAGTGAATTCTATCCTGGGCTTGCCTGACAGGCAAATGCCATTTTTTGGCAAATTTATTAGGGAAATTCAAATTACCCAAGCACTGTAAGAGATAATAATTAAAATTATTAAACATGGTATTAAGACAGTTTTTTGGTGGGCTAGTAAATCAAAGTGTCATTGATTTTCTTTGCACCCTGCTGCCATCTATGAAGTCAGGAGTTTTCAAATGTTGGTCCTCTGGAAAAATTTGTTATAGACCTCTCTTATTGCTCTTTGATAGGTGCTGCAGCAATGAAGCCAGTTATTTGAAATCTTACTAAAAGCACTGACTTCTCTACAGTTAAAAGAAATCAAGACAATATCATAACAGACATTGCCGTTATCACAAAATCACGTCTAAGACTAAGCTGTGATCTAACACAGGTCAGTCTGAGAAGTATAATTTAATGAAACAACAACCACAACAAAAACAAAAACAATGATGGCATTTTTTAGACGTGAACTTCTTAATAAATAATCTCACCCTGTAAGCTTAGCTGTAAAACTCTCTTGAGTTCATCATCTTCATCTGTAGACTTCCTCTACAGACAACAATTGATAAGAAAACATTACAAAAAGTGCTGGCATTTTTAGTCTCCACTGTAAACAAAGTGGAAAACAAAATTGCCCAGCAGTACATTACAAATAACTTCATAATAAATTCATGCAAAGCATTGCTTGGTGCTTAACTTAGCTTCTTAAAGACTAACCAACACCATGACTTAAGATTGGTTTCCATATGATTGCTACGATCACTGCAATTGTTACAGGAAAAAATTGAGTAATCCTTACAACTACCAGCTTCCAAATGATCACTACAATCCCTAAGATAGAACTTAAGTCTACTGTATCTCAGCGACTGTCGCCACAACAATTGCTGTGATTGTTACAGCTGCTGGAGAGTGATTTCCATATTATTACAATGACTGCTGAGCTTTTTTGCAGCAATCAAAGCGCTCATATGGAAACAAGACCTACTTAATGATGATGCTGTCTAAAACACAGGTTTCCAATTCAATAGGGTTTGTCTGTCATTGGAAAATTGCTAACTTATTACTACATGACTAAGTAAGTTCACAGGGCCAATAACTAAAATAAACCAATCAGACTGCTCCATTGCCAGTCTAATATTCTCTAAGTAATGGAACTGGGCACTGTCCCAAATGATCCCGCAAGATCACTCTTGAAGATTTTCAGGTAGTTTTAGTCATGTAATAAATCTCTTATTAACCAAGTTTGCCTGGGACTTTACTGGGAGAATATCAGCCCTTGGTCTTTTGTTTGAACCTTGTTGCGCTCAGTCCATAATAAGAGCTTAAGAAAACCACAACAGCCACGGCAACAGCAATGTCGGTAAACAAAAGGCTTTATTAGGAGAACAATGGCTGTGCTTGTGTGTTATAATTCTTGGTACATTTCTTCGCTGTCCTCTCCAAAACAACAACATGAAATGACCAAATTCTGCATTGTCTGGAGAACATGAAGCATGACAGGTAATTTTTTAAATATTTATTTCGAATTTATCATCATGTCCCAGATTCAGATTCGTGATAGCTTTGACAGTGATGAACAAAGTAAATGACTTAAGGGTACTGTGAGATTCATAGGTAAAATATAAATTAATTTTTTAATCAATGTTGTCCTCATCATTGCTGTCATGGTTAAGCTTGCTAATGTCAAGACATTGGGCCAATATCCTTCCAGTACCGCTCTCACCCTTGGTTAAGAAGATACATATCTCACCTGGTCTTGAAGACTCATGTTGATTGCTTTCACCATATCCTCATCTCTAAAAGCAGTACTGTACAAGCTGCTCCTAGGCCTCTCTTTAGCACTCAAATTGTTTAAAGAACTCTTGTTCTCCTTAACACTGTCCTCAAAAAGATTACCATCAAACTTTCCTAGTGTTGGTGTTTTGTTTGTATTAATTTTGTCTTGTGGTTTTCGTTTTCGCGTAAGATTACCATTGGGTTGTTTAACAAACAGTATGGGACTGTTTTTAAGAACAGTTCCCTTGCTTGCACTCTTTTCCATGCTGGAATCGATACTAGAGTTTCTGTCACTACTTGTGTCATGTAAAATGCTGATGTCAAGGTCGTCGGAAATGTTCTCTGTTGCCGATATTGGACCTCCTCCTTTTAATCCATTAGCTTCATCTGGTTCACTCTCTTGAGCAGCATTCACTAAATCTTCATCGGAAACGTCACTTGCGAGATTGAAATCCTCATCTTCAAAATTACATGTAGTATCTTCTTTCAAAGCTTTCAATTTTCCTGAGCACTCTGTTTCATTTTTGTTCATTTCTTGACGCTCTTTCAATTTTGCTCTTGATTCTTTTTTGGCTGACTTGGCACTTTCTGCCAATGCCCATTCCAATTGTTCCTCTTCTGTACTGGCCCAAACTGGTTTCTCACATCCATGCATATGTTCAAGGTTTATTTCCTGGTCTATGTCAAATGGAGTGCTGCTTTTGTCACTGGATCTGTCAGTGCCAGTTCTACACTGATCTGTCTTATCAAGCTTACTACCGCCAACTGTTTGATCAAGCCTTGAAATCCCTGTGATCCCCACACCATCCTCAGCTTTTGCAGAATCCTTGACAGTGCTATTGAGAAACCAAGACAATAAATTACCTGGAATTTTTTGATAACTTATAAAATATTTTTAATATTTATCTCTCAGTTACAATGTGTGCTCTGATTGGTCAATTTAGCGAGCCGTATTCTACTGTATGCTAAAATTTAAAGCTGTTTTTGTTGCCAAAATGTTTTTTCGATTTATCACCTATCACCTCTGGTGCGCCTCATGAGTCCACAACATTTTTACCACTGTGTTGACGCATATCGTTGTCGATAAGAGTATAGACCATGCTAAACAACATTCAATTTGTTAATTTCCTTAAATTTTATTTTGTCTTGTAATGTACACTACCTTGTAACTGTTGTGTCCCAAAATGAATGAGCCAGTTTTCTTCTTACTGACGGAGAGGGCTGAAAATCACTGGAATCATCATCATCATCTTCGCAGATAAAATGTCGTTTCTGTGGCTTTCGGCTTGATTTAGTAGGGCTCCTGAACAACCATAAAATAAGCTTTCAGTATGAAGTTTGGAGTTTAACTAGACCTACAGTTATGATAATGGAGATCTATAGTAATGCTTATAAGAAAAACAATTACCACCTTACAGGATTATCAACATCATAATGAAAATGTTTGATGAAGGATTTAAGTTTCTTTAGTTTGATATGTTATCCCAGACTTTTAATCTCA